CAGAAGAGGAAGATGCCGGAGGTTTCGTGGGAGGCTTGGAGATAGGGCCAAAAGATGCGGGAGGTTTGGAAGAGGCTTCGGGCCTTGAAGATGATACCGGGTTCGAGCGAGCAGGAGGAGCAGATACCTGCGCCGTAACCACCGGTTTGCTCTCTATCGACGCAGACGCCTGAGCAGCCTTAGCTGTAGCACTCGCCGCTACCGGCCTGTTCGCCACACCAGCAGAACCATTGGAAACAGCACGTGTTGTCGGCGCCGGCGCTGGAGGCTGAACAGCACTACTCCCCGCACTCGTGGAGCTTGTAGGCTTGAACGCCCTCCTCACAACCGGTACCGGAGGCTTGGTCCCACTCGCAACCCTTACCCGAGGTACGGGCGGTTTCCTCGGTGGTGCTGCAGGCTTTGGCTCAGGCTGAGCTCTCGAGGCGGCGGGCACGGGGCGAGCTGGCGGGCGAGATAGAGGTTTTGCCGTGGGCGCGACTTGGGGGCGAGATGGTTTGGCAGCAAGACCAAAAGCAGGCTGGATGGGCGGAGGCGGGGCGCTTGTAGGTCCTGAGGCGGGTTCGGCAGCAGGTTGAACGCCATTCGTGACCACCTCCGTCTCTCGAGATTCGACCGTAGGTCGTTGAGCGACGTCTGGCGCGGTCGACTCGCACTCCGTCTTTTCCACTTCGCCTTCCATCTCCGTGCTTCTCTTCTCCACCGCTGGACTTTCGGGCAGAGCAACCTCTTTCGCCACTTCCACCTCTCGCCTCGCGTCCTCGCTTGCCCTCTTCGAAGGAGTGCTAGGGTAAACGTCCTCTTCCATATCAATGACCCCTTCAGACTCTTCATGCGAATGCTTGACTTCCTCGACGTCCACCTTGCTCGACGTGGATTGTATGAGCACCGGCATGAGCGGCGATTCGACATTCTTCTTTTCTTGTTCGACCACGCGTGATGGGATGGGAGAAAAGAACGATTCGGCAGAGACCTGTGGGCGAGGGCGAGTTGGGGGAAGGTTTTCCAAAGTCGATGTAGACTCGCTCGAAAGGGGAAGAGGGGCAGTGACGACTCTCCGAGTCGCTTGCCCCATTGTATTCTTCTTTCCCAATGCCGGCCTCACTGCCCCTCTCAAAGCTCCACCAGCACCAGATCCAGACCCGGTGGCAAGCCCGACAGCTTCCTCTTCGTCCCCTTCCTCCACCACAGGCTTGACAATCCTTTCTGGCGGCGCCATCCTTCTTGGCTTTGCGTTTACCGACTCGCCTTGAGGAAGAAGGGCGGAAGTGGACAATGAAGCTGGGAGTGCAGGGCGGACAGGTTTGGATAGTGGGTTATACTTTTGTTGATACGACTGCTGGGGAAGACTGTCGGGGGAGAAGAGAGAGTTCGGGTTGGGGTTGGAGGAAGAATGAATGGGGATGGAGTCGTGCGATATAGTACGCATGTGGCGCGCGGGAGGGAGGGCATGATGAGCCCTAGGACGACTAGATTCGCCGGATTGGAGAGGCAAAGGCTCAGCGTGAATACGCTGAGGCTTGGGATCGTACGTCGCTTGACTAGCCTGGGGCTCATCCCCGGACCATTTTTTCAAAGGCGCGGCCGCGGGCTGTTGCACCGGAGGGAACTTTGAGCCGCCGAGTTCTTGCACTCTGTGATGAGGTGCGGGAGGGTGAACAGACGAAGACGATGTAGTGGATGAACTGAGGGGGGCTGGCACTTTGCGGGCCGGAGCGACGGGACGAGCTTTGGGCTTTGCAGCGGCACCATTGGCGTCGATCTTGAGATTTCGGCGCGTAATTGGTGTGAGGGGGCTTGCAAAGCTGTTACAAGTCAGTATAGGTGGTATATATAGAGATGTACACAGGACTTACTCGTCGACTCTCTCCGGCCACGCTTCTGCAAACAAACTCAACACTTCCCTCCCCGTCTCTCGCACCTGCGGATCCTTATCCGCCCCCATCTTCCTAACACACTCCTCCAGCATCTTCAGCCACTTGTCATTCCACAGCTCATAAGGCCACTCCTGCAATGCCCTATCGATCGCCACAGCGCATCCCTTCCTGCAAGCCGCCGCATTGTCATCCAGACCCTTTCTCAGCTCTTGCACGATAACAGGAAGATGACAATTGCTTATAATGGTAGCGAGGCACTTTTCTGTTCGCCGTAGATAGACCTTGTTGGGACGGCCGAGGAGGGTAATGATGGGTTCGAGATAGAGGTGGGTGAGAGGTTTGAAATGGGTGGAAAGGCGAGGGGCGAATGTTTGGAGCAGGTCTGTGGCGACGCCTGATAGTCTACCTCGGTCGGAAAGCATCTAGGCCATTGTCAGAATGCCATACTTTTTACACTGAAAGTTGGAAATGTGGTGAACACTTACACATCGCACGAGCTTTGTCCCAACTCCGCCCCTTCCAACGCCTTCCACGAATGTCTCTGTAAACTTGTACCCTCCGCCTCTGACTACCGCCGCAAAGCGTATGATTGCTTTTTCGAATTTCTCCCACGTGTCTTCCTTTTCTGCTGGTTCAAGCGCGTAGGCCAGTTCTTCGAGCTCTTCGATGAGATGGCGCTGGGTGGGGCACTAAGAGAATGAGTCAGCGCGTGCGGGAACAAGCTTTTCAGGGGACGTACTGGTATCTTGCCATCGGGGGGAAGTGCCGGGGCCATCGAATACGGTATCCTGCCAAGATTAACGTCGAATAAATGAAATGTAGAGTGCAATTGGAACTCGAATTCTTGTTTGTGCAAAGTCAGACGCGCATCGCGAAACAAAACAAACAGCACGGAACCAGATTCAGGATCACGTGACATTTCTATCACCTCTTGCAACGCCAAAATTAACCTCCACCTGATCCTTCCCTACAAGAATCAAATCCAAATGAGCGGCCACAGCAAGGAAGGCGTGCGGCTCTGCGAACACGTAGTATCCCAGGCGTTCGGGAAGATAGTTCAGGTGGGTGCTGGCATGGCATGGCCTTTCCGTTAAGCACTGACATGTTACCAGCGAGTTGCCTCGACACTTTTGAATCGAGGGAGACTACCAGCCACCACAATCGCACGCCTATCCGGTCTCTCGCCACACGTTACAAACGCATCCCTTCTAATTCTGATACAACACAGTCTGGTGCAGTCCAATGGAGCATCGGTGAAGCAAACGGGAGAGGACGAGCAGTACGAGTTCAATGTAGACGAGTGTCTGTTGCGGTTACGGTGGGGGCGGATATTGGCAATAACGCACGAGAAGCTGGATCTAGTAGTGAGTGTTTCTCTCGAAGCAAAATTACAACTCAATTGAAAACACTGCACACACTAAAACTCAATGTAGGCGGTACAAGTTGTCAAGCAGCTTATGATCTACGGCAAACTCAGAGTCCCAGATATCGTATCTGCTTGTGGCGGCGAGTCAGATGCTATCCGTGGGTGTCTCATCATCGAACCTGGTGTAGAGCTAACAGTATCGCAGGAGCGGAAGCAGTCACAAACACCATCATCACCCTCCTTCTCAACCGTTTCCTGGAATGTACTGCTCCCGAACTTCAAATCCTCGAGTCAGATCAGATCGAACGGCGCTTTGCTGTGAGTTGTCATTCTACCTCGGGTGGTGACTGTTGCTGATGCAAATATAGGCCAACCGTAAGCGAATGGTTCTTGCGCAGGGCACATCCCTCCTCTCCGCCAACGACCTCGAGAACTGTCGCCTCGAAGCCACTCACGACGTTCGCGTGGAAGCCGCCTCTTTACGCGCTGCCTCCAACATTCTCATCCAAAAGACCAAAGTCGACCCGAAAAAGAAGCGCAAGCCCTCAGGCAAAACCGCAGAGGATTTCGACTACTCGCTCAAAGAGAACGTCCACCTGAGGGTCAATTATGATCGATATGGGGTATTTATCAGGAACGAATTGATAGTCAAGGCGGCGGAGGATAGGTGGAACAAGGGAGCGGGGGTGGTCATGCGCGCCGTTTTGGAGGGTAGTGTACAAGACTCCTCAGCTGTGAGGGATGACCGGACGCACGACCCCGTATCTATCAACACAATCATCTCCTCCATCCCTCCTTCCTCCGCCCCACTCCTTCTTGCTGGCATCTCAGCACCTTCCAAATCATCTCTTCCCGACCTCGCCCGGCACTACCTTACGATACTCGCTGCTGAAGATCAGGTCGGCAATGGGGGATGGTTGGTCAGGGAAGGAAGCACGAACCCGGGGTATCGGGTAGAGTTTGAGGCTATTTGTGTCAGGATGAGGGAGAGTATGCTGGGGGATCTGGTTCGCGAGAAGCTTGGGGATAAGGCGGCGAGGATTTTGGCTGTTGTTACCAAGTCTAACAAGGCGTCTGAGACCACAGTACGTTTCTACTTGTCTTCTCTTTGTGCTTACTGACCGTTTCATCAAGATTCGCGACTGCGCCATGGTCTCTCTCAGAGATGCTCGCTACATTCTCGCAGAATTACAGCAACTCTCCCTCGTCGAAACTCAAGAAGTTCCCAAGACCGCCAATAAATCCCGTCTCGGCCCCTCCTCCTCTCAAGAGTATCATCTTTGGGCTGTCGACCTTCCACGAGTATACGGTGTCCTTCTCACCGGCGTGTACAAAGCTCTGGGAAACATTTTGCAGAGGAAGGCGGCAGAAGTGGAGAGGAAGAGCACGGTGATTGCGAGGGAGCAGAGAGTATTGGGGCATGAAGGAGGAAGGGGTCTGTTACAGCTCAAGGACCAGGAGGATTTGGCGGAGCTGGATGATTCGATGACCAAGTTGACGCTGGCAGAGTTGAGGAGTGAGCTTGTGGTGTTTATCCTGAGGGATCTGCCGGGGTGGCCTGGGTCGGGGTGAGTCTTTCTTGCTCTGGCCGTATGAACATTGCTGACGATCCTCTTAGAGGACTGGCGTAGTACGACTAGGTTACGACATCATATTTATGTATCCCACGATGGAGCCAACACATGCCAAGACAGAAGGGAAGAACCGCGTGATCGAAACGACTCGAAAGGCGTCGAATCGACTCATACCCATACGAGAACAGTGTAGCTCAGAGGGAGAGCGTGAGGCTCATGATTATCATGTGCCCTCAAGGCCGCCAGATCGACACTGGCTACTGTTAATCTTTCTTTTTGCTGCAGAATATGACTCTTCTGGCTTGTGTGCGCGGGAGCAGAGCGGAAGCGGAGACATCGTCCACTGGAGACGTCTGACGCTGACTTTTGCGCGGGTGCGGAAACGAGGCTTCTAGTGCATTTTGATACCAAGCAGCCTTCCAATCTGGATCAAAGCTTACCACCAATCAGCATCCCTGGCCGTAGCACAACCATGCACGACACAATACCAAACCCTCCTCCGATTCCTCCACCCTGTCCCAAACCTCCACCACGCCCACACATCTTTCGCTTTCCACTCTGCTTCCTCCTCCTGGCTCACTCTCAATGCTTGTAGGATGGGGAGAAAGAACGATGCTTCGAGGGCGTTGGATAGGTGAAGAGCAGAGCCTACGCCAGAAGGATTGGCGCGCCATCGGGAGAAGGTTGTCACTTTCCACCTCCTGACGTCGTCGATGACTAGGGTAGCCCAGATATTTGATGGGAGAGGGTAATGCCAAAAATCTGAACATGCCCGAGCAAGGGACAGAAAATCGTGGAGGCGGACGGATCGAGCAGCTTTGGGAAGATATCGGCGGATACGGTGAGCTGAGATACGTCTGGAACCTCGGGATCGCCCAGAGTTGAGAGGAAGATTCAGGTGATGACGGTGTAAGGGAGGGCCGTCAAGCCTGAAGTCTGTGTTGGGCGAAAGCATGGCAGGGGATCTGATGGAGACGGCTCGCCGACGTCGAAGGGGGATATCAGATCACTCTGACAAACGCGTGAGTCCATATTCCTTGTCGTGCGATATCAATGCTTACCTGCTGATAGTGCCTCTCCCTCCTCTCCCACCTCTCTCTCTGACTGACCAGTCCCCTCCAGTGTCCAAAGTTCATTTTCCCCTTTTCTTCGTCACTCTCTCCATCCTTTTTTCTAGCCCACGGCCCTAATCCATTCCACATCGGCAAACTCCACTCCAGCATCATGCGCTCCTCATGCGTCTGAGCGTTATTGCATTGAGATTGGCGAATAGTGGAGAGAATAGCGAGGAGGCAGTATGCGTGAATAGCAGCGCATCGCCTGGACCTGTGCTCAGTTTTACCCGTCGATGTGACAGGAGGATCGGATGGGGGAGACGGCGAGCGCCAAAGTGGTGGACTCGGAGGGAGGAAAGGCTCGGGATTGACGATGCCGGATGAAACGCGAAGACAGTATTATTCGTTCAGCCAACAGGTCGCGCCCACGCCACATGCGTTAGAGGAGTTGAGTGAGTTTGCGAGGAAGAATGCTTTGGGAGGTGGGAGCTCCGTACGTGGGAGGAGGCATGGAACGGCGCATATAGAGCAAAGGACAGGAGCGGAGAGCATATTGCAGCGCCGGTTGTTTGAACCTGTGGTAAGACTGCAAATTCAGCTATATGCTGTTTCCAAAACCCGAAGACAGAATGCCAGACTTTATCTTGACTACTCACCTTTGTCGTTTGAATCCTTTCATGCCCCGACTGAATCGAACGGCATTTTTGCGTATGTATCAGGGGATGATCTTTGAACAGCGGACTCGGTGTTTTGCACGAGGTGGGCGATACGCCAGCACGTCATGTCGATGGATATTGAGTGGGAGTGTGAGAGCAATGCAGGATGTGCCACGGGGCCTCGGGTGAGGGGATTTGATGGTCAAATTGCGTTTTTGCGTTACTGTACGGCTGGGCGTACGCCGTCTCTTGCCAGCTGCACATCAAAGATTAGCCGCTCAAATCACTGGACAAGACCTTCCAACACAATCCCCCAGCTCGTCTGCTCTAAAGGTCACGGCATTCATGCGCCGCTGACATCTACTCGGTCACGTTGGTATTGTCTTCCTTCTTGAACAGATACCTCATTCCGTACGCATCCTCGCCATCCGCATCTGCAATACTATCAGTCATACCATGTCAGATAGCGTACTCAAATAAACTCACAATAGCCCTTCTCCATTCCTTGCACCTCAAAACCAAGACTGTCACGATACAGAGAGATGGCCGCTCGGTTGGACTTTCGGACATGTAATGTGATGTGGTGGGCATTGTAGTGGGCGACCATCGCCTCCTCTGCATGAGAATCAGCTTTAGGCCAATGGTTATACGTATGCCGACGTACGAGACTGCTTCATGAGTTTGTTGGCGAGACCTAATCTTCGGTAAGGCCTGAGGACGGAAATGGATGTGACGTGTCCGCTGGGCTCCTCGCTGGGCTCTTCCTCCCTGCATATTTGATCAGTACCGCAAATGAGAGTGATGTCGATGGTCACTCACATCTTGGCCAAGATATAACCGACAATTCTCCCCTTGGGATCCACGGCGACATAAGAAAGTTCAGGCCATGTCAGAGCGTGATACAAATCTATTCTTCCAGTCAGCGCAACCCCCAGAATCTGAACGGGCACCTGCAGTATTTGAATGTATAGTTTTCTGGCAGATTGAGAAGGTTGGCATTTTGCATACCGAGCAGATCGTCAATCTATAACGGATGTCAGCAAGAGCAGCAAAGGCCGAGACAGGAAACGTACGGTTGCCTGGCGGATGTCCATGATAAAAGTATTCGATAGGTGTTGTTGGGAGGGTCTGTCGGATGCTCGCCAATTGAAATTGCTCAATTGTAGAAGATATTGGAAACAGGCGATTGTAGGAACTCACGGTGAAAGCGACGATGGCGACGAACTCGCGGGTCGCGGAGTTCGCAGCATTGTCCGCCTCCGCGAAATCCAGCTCTGTCAGTTCCCATGTTACAACAGAAAAATCGACATCAAGTCAGCAGCCAATGCATTCGTTGTTTTTTCTGGAAAGTACGTACAAGAAAAGAACGAAGTGGGCCGCATGGACAAAAAACAAAAAAAAAAAGAACCAACGGAGGGGATCGAACCCTCAATCTCTCGCTAACAAGTTTTGCGTAATCAAGGTAATTGATTAACTTAGGAAGCGAACGCCGTAACCATTTGGCCACGCCGGCTTGTTATATTGAGCAGATCTTATACAACTTGACTCGGTATCTTTGCGCATCTTGCACATGCGCCCCTTACATAAAGCCTTGACGGGATCAATTCCTCTCTTTCTTTCGGCACCTTCACCTTCGTTGCTCATCACCGCTGCTCTTACATCGCCCATCCATCCAGACACCACGCCCAACATGGACGCTTACGGCTACGGAGAAGCATCCACCTCGAATCAGCCCCAAACCATTGACGTCCCCGTCGGACCCACCAACCAGCCCAAAATCCTCCTCCGCAATCTCAATGACTCTGAGGCGACTTTCCATCTGAGTGGTACCGAGCTCGCATACGCCAATAGTCTGAGAAGGGTAGTTATGGCGGATGTGCCTACTATCGGTACGCGCCCTGGACCTTTTGGAGTATGCGTATACTGAGCGCTGCTGTAGCTATCGACCAAGTCCTTTTCCTCCAAAACACCACCCCTCTTGCCGACGAGATGATCGCTCACCGCCTCGGTCTTGTTCCTCTTATCAGCCGGGGCGTCGAAAAAGGTCTGAGATACACCAGGGACTGTGATTGTGATGAAGGGTGCTATTTTTGTATGGTGACTCTGAAGCTCAAGGTAGCGTTCAACGGCGATGGTTTCATGAAGATCACGAGTGATATGCTGGAGGTTATTCCTAGCCCTGGTGGCGTGAGTCTTGACATCTTTCGTCTTGTGCTTCACCAACGTGTGCTTAGCCCCCTCCACCGAATCCCTACGGCCCTCCCCCAGAAATCTCTGAAGAAGACCGAGTTATCATGGACCATCGCGACCCCGAAATGGGTATCCCTATCGGCAAGGGCAACCCCGCTATCCCGCCTATACTGATCGCAAAGATGGGCAAGGGTCAGTCAATTGACGTTACCTGTAAGGCTTACAAAGTGAGTTTTGAACACTCTCAAGTATGCACAGGACTGACCGGTAGTAGGGTATCGCCAAGCACCACGCTAAATGGTCACCTTTATCAACGGTCGCCTTCGAGTACGACCCTTATAACAAACTGAGACATACCACCCATTGGTTTGAAACGGATGGTGAGCGCTACCTATCTCGCGCGCACAGAGACTGACTGTTCAACAGAACGCGGCGAGTGGCCCCTCTCCAACAATGCCATCTTTGAAACTCCTCCCGACCCCAACGCCCCATTCGACTATAATGCCGTCCCCTCCACTTTCTATTTCAACGTCGAGTCTGTCGGCTCCATCCCTGTCCGGTCCGTCATTGAGCAAGGCTTGGATATCTTGGTGGAAAACTTGGCGGGAGTGATTCTGGCGGTGCAGAAGGAGACTGGTGGAGACGAGGAGGATGGAGAAGCAGGAGACGAAGGGGGCATCATGGAGCCCAATATGCAGGGGATGGGAGATATGAACGGGCACGCAGGGCAGGAATACGGCGCTTGGTGAGATGTAGACTGGAAAAAGGGGAGTGAAGGTGACATGCACGATGTCTTGACGCCCTGCTTAACGTTCACATCCTTTCAGCAATGATCCTTTCAGCAATGATCCTTTCACGCTTTCATCCTCATCAAGAGCAACCCACGTATCCCACTTACCCAGTCTTGTCACAGCATGACGTCCATTGCAGATCAGTTGAAGAAAGCGGAAGCGGCCCTCGAGGACGCGAAAAACAGGGGATCATCCTCCGTCCCAACTCATGAGAAGGAGGTCAAGAGGCTCCAGGAAGAGTTGGAAAAGCCCCAGCCGCACCCAGCGTAGGTCTTGGTGGTGAGACGGTGGACGACGAAGAGCTGATCGTAATAGGCTGCAGTTCAACGAGTATGCTCAGTGCATAGCGGTGATGTGCGCATTGAGCTTACGTGCGTCACTTTGCTGAACGCGTCGATACCTCGCTGACGAGACTAGTCATGGCGTCTTCACCTTTGCCTTTACAACTTATACCCTTCTATCGCATCTTCAGTACAGTCACGATGCTGGTGGTGACGTGGGTCAGTCTCCCTCGATTCTGAGTGACATCTGATCAAATGCAGAGGCTACGTCGTGAGGATCTCAATCATCTATT